GGGGGGGGGGGGGGGGGGGGGGGGCTTTAATGTGACTACGGGAACAGCCCTACCCATCCCTGAGGAGCGTAAAATAAGAACCACATCTGAAAAGAACATTTCTAACCACAGTGCATGGAGGACCTGAAAGCCAGGTTCATTTTTAAGGGGACTCCCTGTGAGGGATCACTGAAATTAAAACTGAGGAAGCTTTCATAATGCCCCCCCCACCCTTCACAGGTTCCATTAGGAACCTATAGCTTTTCCACTGCCCAAGCATGATACAAGAAGACCCAGGAGATTTGGCACCATCGCCCCACGAATCAGGCCTTGCAGGCCCCACGGCAGGATGGCGACCGGCGGTAAGACCCAAGGTGGCCACGGAGGCGGGGCTTACTTTGCTGTCCATATAAACTTGCACCAAGCTGGGACAGTTGACCCGATGACGAAGGCGATGGAGATGCCAGCATCTGGAAGAGAGCGTCAGATAGCGAGAGAAGCGTGAGCAGCCTTTCACTGATGTCATGTGACACCTGGATCTGTGCCCATTGGACGCACATGACCAAAGAGACGGCGCAGCAGAGGGTGGGAAACGGAGGAAAAATGAAAACAGAAGGCACACCAACAGAAACGCGACAGGAAAAAGCACACACACCTAAACACGAGGCTAGAGGAGGCTCAAAGAGACAGGGCAATGAAAGAACATGAAAGCGTTTTCAAAAACCAGCAGTAGCAGCAGGACAATAAGCCATAAACATAACCCAGCGTGTGTCTGTCTTTACACTCCTGCACCTTAAAAGGCGCACCTAGAGATTCATTCAGGGGTTTGAGTGTCTGAGAGCCCCCTCAGCTGAAAGCACAGACAGGAGAGGGCATGCAACTGGCATTCATTCTGTTCTTTCAACCTCCAGAACATGGAAAACACTCAGAGTTTCTCTAGAGCGTGAAACCAGCCAAAACAGCACAAACTAAACTGCAGCCTGAGCACTGGGTGAGGCCCCAAAGGGAATTACCCTAACTCAATGATGCCATCTCCCCCTCCCCTCCAGACCACAAAACCGCAACTTGGGAGATGCGAGATCACTGAACACAGCAATTCTCAGGTGCAGCACGGAAATGGGACATCTGACAAGGCCAGAGGGCTGAAGGCAGGTGGCCTTTCTGGGCTTATACACAGTCTCACACACGATGATATGAAATGATATGAAACCACCTTCAGACAGCAGCTTCTGGTGCAAGAAAAGCCAAAGGTGAGTGGCATTTCTCCAGGTTCATATTTACCCCATTACCATGACAACCAGCTGGGCACTGCACTGCATTTGGCACAACTATAAGCATCCAGCTACCATGTCAACACAGGTACGGCAAGCCGTAAGTGTCACATTGCATCAGGCGGCAACTGAAGACGACTGAAGACTCCTTTCTCGCCCAGCTGCCGTGACGAGAGCAGGTGGTGAGGATGGTAAACACCGTAAGTAGAAGCAGCAGAGAACCAGAACCCAGAGGACCGAGGCCGTGTGACAGAGACTGGCAGCCAAATCAAATTTACAGTGTCCTGTTGCTCCATGACAGTGACATTAGTCACCCAGGTAAGGCTAATGAAATATGGTCATAGCTCTGTCACTAGGAAGGACAGAGTAAGTGCATTTAATAAGGCAGCAGGCTCATCTGTGTATCCCGTAAAGCCCTGATCGATTGGCTGATGAGCCGGGGGGGGGGGGGGGGGATCCTATGGGGCCCTTCATTAATTACACATGCAATCAGACCTGAGGAACCCAGACACCGGCATTGATCTGCTGGTTAATAGAGAGAAGGTTTCCCTTAGGAGGGGGACGGGCTGATCGTGGGCACGGTGCCACGATCATAGGGTGACAGGAAATGGGGCGGGAGGGAGACTTTGGCATCATGACCTAGCGGCTGGTCCCAGGTCAGATCTGCAGCCAGGGCTACAGGGGTCACATGGCCTCCATGTCGCAGCTGCCATCAGCCACTGGGGCCGATCAGCAGGCTTCACCCATCTGCGACTGGAGATACGAGTCAGACAGCGCGGCCCCCTCCGCCGCGCGGCCCCCTCCATCTCTGTGATTAAAACGCCTCCCAAGTCCCACGATTACACATTCATCCAACAAATCGCTGTCTGGACGTGCTCCCGTCGTCTCCAAGAAATTAAATTTAGCTTAAAAAGATGCATCTGGCCGGGGGTGGAATTCCAGAACATGAACTGCTCGGCACGGAGTCAAATCGGGGGGGGGGGGCAGTGAGACTCAGCTGGTAGGAAGCACCTCTCAGCCAGCGTGTCCGGCTCGTCTCAAGCCCCGCTGTTGGTGGCTTAATTGTGTCAAACGGTGTGCCTGTTTGACCAGGAAAGCTGGGTACCAATTAAAAGTTAGGGGCTGTGGGTTATGGGAGGTGTGTGATTAGCAGGCAGCAGAGGGGTGACGCCAAGGGACAGCAGGTCTCCTGAAAAGGGCCAGGCAAGCGGAGAGGACAGACCTGCAGGAGCCTTCATTTGAAGGCTCTCTTGCACACAATTCTTCTATTAAGCTCAGGGCAGCCCCAAAACAGGTGGGCGACCATAAGCAGTCATGCCGCCCCCTGCAGGCCTGCCCGGAGCCGTCCAAGCACCCGGCTCAGTAACGAGCTCCCCGGCAGCTCTGCCAGATGGACGACCCAGACGTCTATATCCATCGCGACAGCGTTTCTCCGCCAAAGGTACTTAACTGGGTTATGAGAAGAGGCCTGCTACGCGCATGCACGCGCGTGTGTGTGCGTGTGTGCGTGTGTGTGTGTGTGTGTGTGTGTGTGTGCCAGGCATCATCCTCAGACCAAACTCAGCGGGACAGACACAACTTCCTTAAGAATAGCTGAAGTAACTCACTCTACACTTTTCTCTCATATAAAAGCTGTTTTTAATCTAAACCACCATCCTTACAATGAAGGTTTAGATACTCAGTTCAAACTCGATCAACATGCAAAGGACACTCAAGGAATCTCAGGCTGAGCTCGCGGCAGCCCAGTAACCTGCCAGATTACCATCTACCCCTCCACCCCGGCCTTACCGCTCGGCAGGGAGTTCTGCACAGCACGTGTCGATGCACCTCCACAGCCACAGCGTCTAAGTGCCACGTTCCATGCATGCACGGGGACCGAGTGCAGCATTCACAGGTCAGGCTGCAAATCGTCAGAGCCCCAAGCTGGCACTGCCAAGCTGGCTGATGGTCGTGACTGAGGAAGCCACCCCAAGTCAGTCGAAGCTAGTGATCTTCAAAGCCTGTCTGACAAGCACAGGCTCGCTGCATGTAGCGCCGAGATTATTATATGAAAGTATCAAAGGCAGTTCATCTTGTAGGAAACAAAATATATGTCTGACCCTTAGGATTATATCAAACTAACCAGCCTGTTGCAGATGAGAAAACTGCAACTTGCACTGGGAAATTCCATATGCTATCATCCCATTTACAGTGGCCAAAATGAGAAGCTTAAACACGCAAAACGTCTTTCATAATCTGTAAGACTAATCTCACAGCATCACTTATCAAACACAAGGTGTCAGCTGGCTTGTGGGGCAGGAGGACTGGGGTGAAAACAGCTGCATGCAGAAGATCTGACCACCACCAAGAGTCAGAGCAGCAGAGGGATGGCTGAAGGGCGACTGGGAACATGCCGGAACTTACGTCTTTCTCCGATCGATGTGGAAACATCGACTGTGAGCTGTAGTACATGCTTTCCTCAGGGAAGTCGCTTTCGACCCCCTCTAAAAACTTCTTTCTTGCACTAAACATGCTGTTTGTCACCTGCAAGAAGAAAGGGAGACAAGGTTAACTGGCTGTCAGTCAAGTCACTCAAATGGCTGAGGTCCCTCCCAGTAAAATCACTCTGGTAAAAAATAAGTTCTGGAGGATGAGAGCCTTCAAGTGGAATAAGGCCTCTTAGTGAGGTGTTTGGTCTTCTTGTGGTTCTGTAAGGAAACCCGGTACCACAAGGAACAAACCCACTAGTCACCAAGTCCTAACCTTCTGAAATACTCACACCGACATTTGAAATGAAAAACATGTTTGATTTGTTTGTATAAAATTATTTCAAAGACTAGTCCAATTAACTGGCTAACTCTGCATGCGTGTTAATTACAAGTCAAGGGCTGGATTTCTCTAATGAAGACCCGGTTCTGTCTCGGGTGCTGGTGTCAGCAAACAGCAGAGGCAGAACCGTCACTGGATTGATGCTGCAGTGAAAACCTCAAAGGAATGAAAAGGCGACCTCTTCTCGGGTGAAGAAGCTACTGAAACCATCAGCTACTTCACTCCTCGGTAAGACGAGTTGTGAAAGTCGGGACCAGAGAGGAATGGAGGAAAATGGCCCGCTTGAGACACATCCAGAAAAACGAACAACAGTGACCCCCCCCCCCCCTACTATGCTTAAATAAAATGTTTCCATTTTATTTAGTGATTAGGGGTAACAAGACCACAAGTCAGACAACTTACAGACACTCCCTGACTAAAAACTGCAGCCACTTTTAGCTTGAGCAGATAGACAGCTAATGACTAGAGTGTGTTATAACATGGGGCAGCCTTATTGCTTGATCATTTCTTTCCAGGTCCCTGTGCAGCACACAGAAAGACCGCAGCTCCATATAGCTTCACATTCATAATAAGAGCAGAACACCCACCCAGCTCTCATCTGGATCAATGCTACCATTCTTTAACAAAAGGAATCCTTTTAATCCGCATTTAGTTTTTGACTGGCTTTGCCTGGCGTATCAGCATGGTTCCTTTGTGTGGATTTTAACAACACTGACAAACGTCTACAGTAAAGAAATCAGAATCTGCTTATGCAGACTCTCTCACACAGACCATTCCTTCAAAAGAACAGGATACGGATAAGACACGACAACGGGTTGCACCACAAGACGAGCCAATCACATCCTGCCAAGCCCCCGCGTAGACGCTGCCATCCGCCATGCCAACAGCATGAGACACAGGTTCTACTCAGGGCTCCTGGCCAGAAGATACTCTCTCAACACACCAGGCTCTAGGTCTACATGTGTTTTACTCCAGAATATAGAAAGAAGCTCCCTGTCACTGTCATTCAACCTTAACTCATAATATTTGTAACACTATTCCCACCAGAGCAGGATAAACACAGCTGAAGCATGAGCTGAACCATAACAACATGCATTTTTTGGACCAGCTGTATTCAATTTTCATTTGACACACTTACTCATTTTCAATAATTCAAGCGCCTTTGGTGCTCAGTGACACACAATCTTTATGAAAACACTGACATCACAACACAGAATCCTAAGTTAAAGGACAGCCAAGCATTTCCCCCAGCCAGCAGCACAACAAAGGACTTCCCTCTCGACGGCTTAGTCACTGCAGAGGGCTGACATCTTCGGACACACTGCCACACAGCTCATGCTACTTTGCTGTTCATGCTTCACTGCACCCAGATGCTCATGTCTGAACTTTGTCAAAACCAGCAGTTCCCACACTCATTAAATTCACCAACATGTCCAAGAGCCCAGCACCTCCAGACCAGCGTCACAGACACCCACTGAAAAAGCCACGGGACAGAAGCCGCCCCCCGCGGTCTCCTGCCCTCTGCCTCTGCCGGATGGCTTTTAGTGCTGAATGGGAGCTCCACAATGGGGATGGGGTGAGGAGATAATGGGGCGTGCAAGGGCAGACAATGAGGCCATCTGCACGGTGCCACGTGGATCCAGGCCGAAGGGAAAACGAGCTCTGGGGACTCCAAGGGCCTCCAGGCCTCCCGGCAGGAAATCCAGGTCAAAGACAAGAGGCAAGCACCATGTACAGACTGTATGACTATTTGGGATTCCTCACACAGCCTCAAACAAGGACGATAATCACAACAGTCTGCCAATGGCTCCTTGCACAGGCTTGTCTGATGCTGTGTCTGGGAGCCCCTGTTAGCCCAGGACAGCTAGTAAGCAAGGCCTTCAAAGGGCTGCACTGCCTGTCAGCTCACACTTGTGGGTTTGTGGTGACTCGCATATGAACCCCTTTATTTCCCACCAACAGTTTCTTATTTCTTATAGCTAAATACGGAGCCTTGACTGAATGTTGACCAACATGCGCCCAAAGCTTGACCATCACTCATGGAGGGAATAGGAGCTGATCCCCACTCCCTCCTTATGGCCCTGTGTATCTGGCAGGTGTTGAGTCCCGGTGGGGTCCCAGTGCCGCACTAGAGCCGCTCAAAGCCGGCTGCTGACGCAGCACATGTTCAGTGCCTGTCTGCATAACACAGTCCCACTGGTCACTGCTCTGCTGCTAAATTAAAGCGATCCGACAGCATTTACGGGGAAGGCTCATCTCTGAAGGCAGCCGACGCCCAGCCCGACACGGATGACAGGCAGGCCCACAGGGGGTTCTGATTAATTCCTATTTATGCCACACCGTACTCCTCAACACGCACAGGTCGCACTCGTGGGAGAGGCCAAAGCAGCCCAATTACAGCCAGGATTCATGCTACATGACGATACTGACATCAATGTACTCAGCTGCCACCCAACAGACGACTCCGGAGGATCCACAAGCGAGGCTCATCCCCTACAGCCAGGTCACATGACGAACTGGATTTCAGGCTTACCCGACACAACGGGAAGTTGACAGCAATGTGCTGACCCAGATCCTGCAGCAGAACAGAGGAACTCATTCCTTGTCATAAAAGGAGGAGGCCCGACTTGAACATTTTTAAGAATGCAGAATGAAGAATATGTGCAGGTAACGGACCCACTCCATCTGGGCAATTATTCGAAATTTGATTTCAAATGACGATCATGACTTCCAACGACTATCAAGACAAAAAAAAAAACAATCAACATAAAACAATTGTGAAGCGTTGCGTTTACCAGTGATTCTCCCATTTTGTGATGCACACCTCTTTCAGTCCCTTATTCGTTTTTCAGTTGAATTAGAGGTTAAGGAAATGCATTCGCCAAGAACAAGAATAAATAAAACCGCAACCTCATGGTAGATGATGATGCCAAGACGTCAGTGGACTGTAACCGGCCGATGCAGATAGCTGTGGGAGACCCTAGGCAGGGTCACGCACCTCACTGCTGACGAGCACGACAGCTTAGGTCTAACTCGGAGCTGTCCTAAGTGCCACAGTGAGAACACCAAGTGCTATAATGGATTAGTTACCAACCTCCGAATAAGGTTAAGCTAAGGGGCTGTGAAAACAGGAGAGACTTGCAGAAGGAGAGTTAGCGTCACACGCCTTGTGATGCCCCTTATGGTTAGGAGACAGCAGGGGAGTGACACCACAAAGACAGTGATCCAGCAGGTGGTCGACTCGGAGCCAACGCATCCACCGCACCTGGAGCAGGAACATATCCTCCGGCTCTGGTTTCTGCTTAATTCAGAATGATGGGAACTAGACCCATCCACATAAAAAAGTCATACATTTTTATTTTATCCACAACACACCCTCATGTGTATGCAATGATGTGGGTCTCTCACTCAGAAGATTTTATTAACATGCAAAGAAACCAGCCTGTATTCATAAACAAACCAAATTACGCACATCCTGCATCTGGAAGAGCCACCTGCGCATAGGTTCTGTCGCAAAGGAAGGCATGTGGGGGTGGTGAGTGGGGGGCATGCGCGACCCCTAGAGCGAAACCATTCTGCTCAGAGACCTCCAATAGAGATGCTGCACAAGAGGGTACCCAAGGATGTCCCCCCCCCCGACACAGAACCTGTCTTCTCCCTTCTTAATTCATTACCTCCTGTATTGTCACTGCAGGATCCTCATATTGATGAAGTCTTTACCAGAGCTGCTAGACCAGCAGATGCACCAACTGCACCATCTACCAATTACCACTCACTTATTGACGGTTCTGAACTTCCTGGGAATCATCTGCCAGCAAAATCAGTTTCTCTCTCTGCCTGCCATTCCTCTGACTTGATGATATCAGAGGGTGAATGTGTGATTGGGGCCGAAACAGAGGCATGCTTCTGGCAGCGAATGAAATCACTCGGAAGGGGTCCAGACCAGCGAATGAAATCACTCAGAGGTGGTCCAGACCAGCTTGCAATCAGGTGTAAATAATCCATTGGGTGCTACTTGCAACTGTCAGCTCTGTGGTCTGACAAAGCTTAGGGAATAGGAAACTCAGTCGAGAAAAGGTTCCTTTAGTCACATCGGCCATTAAAGCCCCTATGTGGGTCTAACTCAAAAATCAGCCATTTCCCTTCCATCTGCAGCTTCCCATGATGCCGATCAGGACAGGCAGTCAGCCACCCTGCCCCCACTGGAGGGGGGAAACTCAGAGGTGAGAGGCCCACTTACAAGCACAGGTCACTCTTAGGACAGCGACAAATCGTCAGGCCCTTCCTTCTCTGACCGTCACAGAAAATTAGATATGGACTACATGAGTTTATAAGTTCAACCCCTAGGCACGGCAACAAAGAGCTTCAGAGAAAAAGAATGGGGGGGGAGATCTGGTGAAACAGGCATCGCCTTGTGCCAGACAGCTCTGGCCTTTCAACCAATGCTGCCCGGAGCGGCCGGAAAAGTCAGTGCCAAAGCGAGGGCGCACGTCACGAGGGTACAGGTGTGCGCGGGGGTTTCGGACATGAGGAAAGCAGCACCCTGGTGAAAAGTTAAAACGTTAACTTCGTAAAAAGAAAAGGTACACCATCTCATTGGGCCTCCTCTTAGCATCAGTCATGCAATAAATGTGAGGCACATCTGATCCTCTCAGTCAAAGCTAAGTCCAGAGAGAGAGTTGATCATGGGATAGCGTCAAGCCCCATCTTGTCAA